TGTTTGTGGAAATTCCCCTGGTCATTGTAACCACCCTGCATGTAATTTCAAGCGCTTTCGTCGAATTTTTAGACTACAATGTTGCTAATACTTGGATTTTATTTTCTAATTTTTGCATCAGCGTCAGTTATCCGATTAATTTCGGGATTTACTGTGGCATGTCCAGACAATTTCGCGAGACTTTTAAGGATCTTTTTATCAGGGGCACCGCAAACGCCAGGAACGGATCTTCCCGTTATTCCATTGTCAACGGCCCTAGAACTTGCACAAACGAAACTGTGTTGTAATAGGTGTCGTAACTATATACTTAACTGGTCCTTGATTATAAGGGTGTACTCAAGTTTAAGGGACCCTAACCCAATTTGTACCTTCGATTTAAATTACTAATTACCCAATTAGGATGATAAGTTTATACAAACTGATTAAATAGTATATATTTTGAAATATTTAAGAAGTTGGTTCACCCTTATACAGGATCAGTCTTCTATACAATTTTGCAAAACATAATTTAAACTAAAACAATTACTCACTAGAATTATCTGGATTATGTTCTACAAGAATCTTTATTCATGAAACTTAAAAATGACGCTTATATAGAGACTTTCATATTGATTTTAAATTTATATTAGATATGTATTTTACAATAATGGATTAGGTGTAAGTAATCAATGTATTTAACTAAATATTTGTGAATAAATATAGAGTATCTTAATATTGTTAGTTTAAATTTATAATATATGTTATTGTAAATATTAACCTACCACCTAGGTAATCGTATATCAATCATTTGTACAAACACTATAATATTATGTTTATGTAAATATGTATTATTAGGCAGTAGTTAAAACATTACTCACAAGCTATTGTCAAAATCTTTTACCTAAAGAGCCCTAAATTTAAAAGATTTTAACAATTACGAATCTGCATTATTTGAAATTATTAGTATAAAATTAAATATTTATTAAGACTATTAATGAATATATAATTAATTTAGATTCTAAAATATCTGTTATTGTTTTAAATAGGTAAGTGTATTCTAATGTAAGAAAAAACATGTTATCTGTAATATCTATACTGATGTTGCCTTCCCTAAAAATATATTCAATGTACAGAAAATGTTCATTATTTAAGTTCCCATAGCCTTAATTAAGTTAAACCGTTTTTATAGTAGGTAGAAAGTATACGTATCTATAGATAATATACAGGGTGTCTCAAAAGCCAAGGATAGCAGAAAAGGGGTGGATAGAGGATGGGATTCTATGTCGAATAGTCAATCACAGGCGTGCTCTAGAAGAATAATGCAGCTTTATCTTAGAAATTCTATATAAAATCTTAGTGTAAAATGATCCGAATTATATGGTTGACATTGTCACTGTCAGTGATTTAGTTTTTGGATTAGTTTTAACTTGAGACATTATTATTTTTTATTAACTCATGAAAACATAAATTGATCATTTTTTAACTTACGTTTAGCCTTTCTGGTAACTGATATAGAAGAACGGTGTCTCCGATAATACCGAGTATAATATATAATATTACATTCAAATTATAGCAAACAGAGCTGTAACCAACTCGTGATATTCACTTCGGATTTTCGTTGTTATTTAACGAGTTTTAAAGTAACGGAATATTGACGTGAAATAAACGTTTTGAAAAAACGAATGTTTTAACAAAAATGAAATTTCTATATTTGTTAAAAATATTACATTAACCTTAAAAAAAATTCCCATACAGTTCTTTCAGTCGAAATCAAGAAGGTACTTAAGTAAGTAATTACCACAGGAATTCTGAGAAGTTTTAAAAATACGTTTGATACACGTAAAATTTAGACGAAATATGTACCTTGCAAACAGAAAATGATGAACGTCAAAATAAAACGTATAAATTACGTATATTTCTCGTCATTATCCGACCACTTATTTCATACCACAATCAGACGACTATGCGACGTCATCAAAATGTTTCAAAATTCGCCAATATGTAGGCAACCCATGCATACCTCTCGCCTCTGTAGCACAATAGATAGTCCTATAAAGGTGGAATGCCTTAAGCTGCTATGTAAGAATTTCTTACTAAGGCAAAATTACTGACCATACCGCTTCTGCTTGTAAGTATTGAAGGGACACAGCTGGTCCTGTGGCCCACTCTGCGAAAAGTAAGCAGTGGGCCCCACTACTTACTTTTAGCAAAAGCCTTTTATAAAATTTAACATTTAATGTTAAACAGCACTATTTTTGAGAAATTATTCAACAACCAAAACACGTTACTTTTGTCTAAAATGGACGTAAAGACGTATTAAAGATGTCTTTAAGAATCGTCTTGACCACGTTAAGGGGGGCGTTTTTTACGTCTAACTAACACGTTTTAATTACGTCCACAAAATACGTCATAAAAATGTGACATTCCAACGTTGATAACTCGTATTATATGTATATAAAGACGTATACGTCTTTTGGTTGAAATATTACCAAAATGTCACGGGTTTTTCACGCTTTTTTGTTTGCTGGGTAAGGGTTTAAAAATAATAAAAAATAAACTTGGTTTAATATCTATTTCACTCATTAGTTTTTGGACCGATTAGATTTCACAAAATGAATCATTCTTATAATAAGGCTAATCGATTTGTTTGTCTCTCTGTGACACCCTCAGGCTGTCCCACGAACATCCAAAGGAGGCAAAAGAGTAACCTCATAAAAATAGGTGGTTTATATAATTTGTACATGATATTTCTCAAAATTTATTACATATCCGAAAATTGCTTGACCTAAAAGTTTAGGCATGATAACCAACCCACAGTACAAGATAATGATTCTGAAAATTTCAAATCGATATTTTGATTTTTAAAGGTCGCTCAAGATTTTTTTAACTTTCCATGTAGACTATTTTGAATGTTTTCGAGGGACTTCTGAATATAAATATCAACGAACTTTTAGCGACCTTTAGAAACCAAAATATTGATTTGAAATTTACAGAATTTTTATTATTTTCAACCTAAAAATAATATTGAGACGAGAAAAAAAATTAAAATAAAACAAAAATTTAATTTTTGAAGATTTAGAAATTTTTAAAAAATCTTGAGCGACCCCTAAAAATTTTTTAAACGAGCTGATATTTTGGCAGGGCTCTTTTACAGCATAATAAACTAACATATTTTTACAAGCGACGAGAAAAAAAAATATTCTTTTTTTTTGAGCTACCATCTTCAGGTCTTAGCTGCTGGGCTGCTGTTGTTGCTCTGCTGCGAGCTACACTTCTATGGTACAAGCAGATAGATTTTTTCCCCTACCTATATTAAGGCCCCCCTACTTGCACCTTTTGGGAAGGTCACCACTTATGATTCACTCTGTATATATAATAAAAATAATAATAAAACAATTGGCTGAAAACCCATTAGGAAAAAAAGATACAAGGATGACGCATTTTCTTTAAAGAAAAAAAATGATGAGTTTATGAGAGATTTGATACCACCAGTAAGTACTTGCAAAATCCTGGTCTTGATGTCATAACAGGACATAAAATACCAATTATCACTGGATTTATATTAATATAAATCCAGTGTTGCTCATGGGCACCAAAGTATAGGTTATGTTTACATATTTAACCGAATTTAAACGTTTTTTTTTTTGCAAAATACCTTTATTTTATTTGTTCAAAATTGTGTTTTTTTTTCTGAATCAACATTAGGGATTTTATAGCATCGGTTAATTTCACACCGATGACGTGGCGACTTTGCCCAAATTTAAAAAAAATATATAAAAAAATAAAAAACATTAAATTTTGGTAAAAATAAGGTGAGTGATCGTTAGAGAAAACAAAAATATATCACTAATACACTCCACGTCAAAATTAACGCATAACAAGTTAAAAAATCCAACTCTAAAACGCCTTTGGTGCCCATGAGCAACAATGGATTTATACCAATCTTTATAAAATTTTGGATAACAATAAAAATCTCAGTTTACGTGTTGAAGGGTTTTTATGAGAAAATTTTTTTTAAGTAAATAAAAATATGATGTGAAAGACCGTATTTTTGTTAGTGTACCCTGAAAATTTTGTACAAATCAAACAAACAGTAACAAAAATACAGCGCTTCAAAATTGTCAAAAATTACCACTTTTTAGCAAAATAATCAAAAAAGGGGTCATTTTTACCGACTTTCAAGCGAAGTATCTTCGTTACTGTTCGTTTGAATTGTACAAAATATTCCCAACAAAAATAAGGTCTTTAACAGCATATTTTTTATTTAGTTAAAAAAATCCCTAAAAGTTATTTTTCGAACGTTTTTTTATTATTAAATAAAAGGGCATTAAAAATATTTTCTCGAAAAACCCTCGAACACGTAAACTGAGATACCTATAAGTTAAAGTATTTTAATAAAAATTTGATAAGATTGGTAAAGGCGTTTTAGAGTTAGAATTTTTTTACTTATTATCTACTTCTGGGCCAGCGTTTTTCCGTTGAGTGAAGAAAACCTTAAGCCTGATTTATAGATGGTTTCCTTCCTTTCTCCCGTAAAATATGAACAATACAAAAATCGTTCTGCCATTCATAGATTCCCGTACGGGATTGTATTGTTTATCTTCTACGGGAGGAAGGAAGGAAAGAAGAAAGGAAGGAAGGAAGGCAATCTATAAATCAGGCTTTATCAATGGTTTTTCCATATTAAAAAAAAATATGTTTGAAGTTAGTTTTTTCCGAAATACATTTATTTTTGTGAATGCGTAGTCCACTAAAATAATCTGAAAACTAACTTTCTATTGTTTGTGACACCATTTAATAAGTTTGGTCACCCCTGTTTTAGAGAAGCAGTTCATTTTAGAAATTGTTATTCGGCAACCAACATTACAGCCGTTGTTTTAGTTTTTCATTGTTGGGTACATTGATTTTGTTTGTCGTTGGCATTCTTGGAGTAAGTCAGGTTGGTCACCCTGTAGTGTAGTAAGTTTTCGTTCAACGAAATTCGTTGTATTTGACATTTTGAAACTAGTAAAATCCTGTGTTTAAAAAAGTATATTCCTGTATAATAAACATTTAATTAATATAATAATGTCTGAAAAACCAAAGTTAGATCTTGGAGTCCTTGAAGAAGACGATGAATTTGAAGAATTCCCTGTGGAAGGTATTTACCATGCAAATTCCTTATTTTAGGTTATGTTTGATGATTTGCATTATTCCTGGTTTTAATTTTTAGATTGGAAGGATAAGGATAAGGATGAACAGGATATTAGCGTCTGGGAGGATAACTGGGAAGATGATAATGTAGAGGATGATTTTAATAAGCAATTAAGGTAACTAACAACAAAGTTAACTTGCTTCGTTCGACTTCAAAATTATGTTTTAGGGCACAATTGGAAAAGCAGAATGCTAAACAAGGAAAATAATTCATTATATTCAAGATTCTTAGTTATTTAGGAATTATTATAAGCTGGGTTATAATTTTTTAATAAAAAGTCAATTTTAGATTTGTTTTAATTTATCTAAAATAGAATTACATAAAGTCAGCATCATATCTCTCTGTTTCTGTACGAGCACCTACTGCACAAGACAGGAGGGCTTGTATACTCCTTTCTTCACCACTACCATAAATATAACCATTAGCTTTATCGATAGCAGCCTTCAATTGAAGAAGACTTTTATCAGAGTTTACGTTTAATGGTACAAAAGAAACTAGACCATAATCTTCAACAAGTCCAACCATGGCAGCATTTAGTTTTTTGAATTTTTTGGTGAAAGGGCCATCATCTAGCAATTCCAGTAAGAATTGGAGATCCAAAACATCTGTGTAAAAATCCAATCCAAAATCTAGTTTTGATGAGTTTTTCTTAAGTAAATCAACCTAAAAATAAAATAATCATTGTAAACAAAATGTTTTTTTTTGTACACTGCGCCTCAAAATTAACGCATAAATAAAAAAATTCTAACTCTTAATGAAATTTTGTATAAAAATACTACAATTTATATCTCAGTTTACGTGTTTAAGGGTTTTTCGAAAAAATATTTTTAAAGCCTTTTCATTTAATAATAAAAAAACATTTGAAAAATAACTTTTAGGGAATTTTTGTTTAAGTAAATAAAAAATATGCCGTTAAATACCTTATTTTTGTTAGTATACCATGAAAATTTTGTATAAATTAAACGAATATACATCGCTTCAAAGTCAGTTAAAATAATTATTTTGCTGAAAAGTGGTCATTTTTGACGACTTTGAAGCGCTGTATTTTCGTTACTGTTTGATTTTTACAACATTTACTATACATACTTACAAAAATACAGCCTTTCACAGCATAGTTTTTATTTACTTTTATTAAATAAAAGGGCTTTAAGGATATTTTTTTGAAAAACCCTTGAACATGTAAACTGAGAGGTTAAAGTATTTTTATCCAAAATATTATAAAGATGGGTAAAGGCGTTTTAGACTTGGATTTTTTTTTACTTGTTATGCGTTAATTTTGACGAGCAGTGTATTATTTAAAAAGGCAAACTTACTAAAATTAAAAAGAATTAAAAAAATGATGAGCAAAATTTATTTACCTTTGATAAAACATTTATATGTGGCAATGAAATTTGCATCATAGTGGATAAAGAAAGTAATAAAGTTGAAATAAACTTGGTTGGATCTGAGCAATAATGTGAATCAACCATATGCACTGCACACAAATGGTAACTTAATTTTTCCAACTTTGTAAAAATATTTTTAATTGAAGCATGATGTGTAAACAACTCCACTTGGCCGGGCATATCAAAAATCAAATAACTATCCCTAATTAACACCAGCTGGTTTAACAACCAGTCAAAATTTTCTTCCAAATATTCCATACAATACATAAGAGCCCCATTGGGCCCCAAATTTAAATTCGTCATTACATCTTCAACAGTTATAAGCTTCATAACATCTATTTTGGGTGTATAATTCATGTTTTCATTTGCTGGATCTAAATTTATAACTTCTACATTTCTATTAAGCTTTTCCTTGTAGAATTTATAAACTTTTCCACAGTAAGTTGTTTTACCAGACCCTGGGGGCCCTATAACAACTTGCCCAAAATGGGTTTCAGACCTTTTAGTTCTTTTCACTAACGACATTATTCCTTTTTAAAATTCTGTATGGCATCGACAATACTATTCAACGTATCCTTACTAAAATCCTTTAAGCTTAAAGACAACAATATGGGCTTACTTATTTTTAATTTCTCTGTTAAGTAACGGGCACCAACTTCCGCTTCCAAATTATCAGAACCCAAAACGCAATTTATACTGTAAACAGGGTCAGTAATACTAATACCGTTTTCAGGTTGATCGATCTTAACTTGGTAAAGATTTCCAATTTTTCCAAACTGGGTAATAATGATGGATAAACAATTTGTAAAGTGACTCAGTACAAATTCGGTGTGGATGTCTCCGATTTTAGCTGCAAAGTTTGTAACGGAGTTTGGCGTGTACGTGGAAAATAAGTTATTGCAGTCCGATTGTAAATCCATTGCACATCTTATAATATTCTTCGTATAACTTGTTGAGTTGTTTAAAAATTAAAGGTTAAAATTTAAACGATAACTATTCTTAGTTGCCTACCTACAGATTGCATTGTTCTGGCTGCACCATCTATCCAAATAGGACTAAACTTTATTTTACTCAAGTATTTTATCATTGAGTTTTTTAATAAATGATTTTACCTTCTTAATATATAATTTTACTGTTGAGTGAAGTCAATCAACGATTTTATACAATACGTATATATACGTAACAAATACTTAAATTGTTGCTTGGGGCCTCTTTATTGTTTTTCACAGAATATTACCTAAGATTTTAAACTGCAAGGTAAAAGTTACTGCACATGCGTTGCGTTATAAAGCCGGGTCCAAAATTGTCGCAGGTCGCAAATCGCCAAGATACATACAACTTAAGATAGGATGGTGCGCATGTTGGGCGGGGCTTAAATACGTCACTTGATGAGTGTTTTTAAATCTTTAACGTGCGTTTTAATAGGGTAATTGCAAAAATTTTAATATACCTTTTTTTTTATTGAATTTCAAAGATTAGGCAATTAAAATCATAAAAGCAATAAATATATTGTTTTTTTATTGCTCAATTTTAAATAATTTAATATAAAAACTCCTAAAAATTAGCCCGCATTTAAAACGCGACGTGATTGGTTGAAGTGTTTGTGACGTCATAGGCTTAGCTGTCAATGTTTTGTATACAAGTTTCAGTTAGAAGAACTCAAAGTTTTGGCCCGCGAAGTAGTGAAAATGAGCCGAAATCCGCAAATTGGTTTTGTGCAAGTAGGGTTGCCAACTGTCCAGAATTTGGGTGGACGTCCACCTTTTCGGCTCATTTGTCCAGCGTCCAGTCAATACCTTTGGCTGGACATAAAATGTTCATAATTTTCACGTTGGCACATTTTTCAATTTTTTCGAAGGATTTTTTCCACAAATTCTTAATCAACTTCGAATTAAACTTAAACAGAGAATTGAAGATGAGTTTTTAGGGTTAATATGCTCAAATGCGATTAAAAATCTTGCAAGAGCTTGTCAACAGAATATAAAGGCTACATCCTCAAATTTTACCAAGACGCCCTTAGCTATCTAGAATCAAAATTCGATTTCTCAGAAAATAATATGCTATCAAAATTTTATCTTTTTTCCCTAAGTAAACCAATAAAGTTTAATGATTTATCGAGTATTGTTATAGAGTCTGGTCTAAGCGATCAAATTGATTTGGATGCATTATACGAAGAATTTTGTGAAATGAAACCAGCGCTAGAGTTGGCATATTCGTCTAATTTACCTATATTAGATAAATGGAACTCAATTTTTAAAGAAAATAACTTCAAATATATTCTTAAAATTGTGCAATTTGTTTTTTCGCTTTTTGGTTTTAACGCAGACGCAGAAAGGGTTTTTTCAATGTGTTCAGCTTTGTGGTGAGATGATCGAAATAAATTTACGCTTGAGCATGTTAAAGCTGAACTCCAAATAAAAATTAATTTTGACAAAACCTGCAAAGAGTTTTATTCGTATATAAAGGACAATAAAAAAATATTATTGGATTGCAAATCCGAAAAAATATTCTTTTAAAAATAAAAATTAGAAATTAGTTTTTCCTATAGGTACCTATTTTCTATTATCTAGAGATTTGTTAATTTATAAAGCAATATGTTTATGTTTGAAAGTTACCCATTTAATACATATATTTCATGTTTGTTGTCTTAAAGTAAGATTTTTTACTAGAATAAGTATTTTTTTATTTACATTGAACTATTGAACTAAGTGTTTAATCTATATGGCGAGTTCTGTATATTATTTATGTGTTTTCCCAAGTAAAAAAAATTTCAAATAAAATATGTCCATAATTTTGTACCGGTGTCCAGAATTTTTAATCACCTTGCCCAGAAAATCCCAAAATAAAAGTTGGCAACCCTATGTGCAAGCGAAGTCGGATAATCTTCCTATTGTTGACGTACAAATGGTATCTACTTATTTTGCGGGAAACGATTGTTTTAACGTTGCTGAATCGCGGGGTGTCAAAGCACAAAGGTAAGACAATGATAAAATTTGTGTTAAGAAATGATATGTAAACAAATAATTAAATAATAATATATATACATGAATGATAATGGTCTACTACAAAAATTTACATTAAAAAATGTCAATTATTAATGATACAAATCATAGAACAAAGCGTACAAATAGACATAAATAGGTAAATGACATAATATTATTATGTTTTTATACCTATGTAAGTTAATGATATCATTGATATAAACATGGATAACCAAAAAGGACGGCTGTAATGCAAAATTAAAAACAAATTTCTGAAAAGATGTCACAGCAAATTAATTACACAACATTATATTTTAGATCAGCACGGGGGGCCTATGGAGATAATGCTGTGGGAAATGTGGAGTTGCAAAGGGAAGGGTCAATATGCACCGTCCAGTGCAAAATTACCCCCGAGCACAAAGTGCATAACAAAGCATATGTTGTATTTTGCAAAATTAATGAGGAGATTGGCATGGTTGCAGAGCTGAGCTGTCAAAGTTGTGCTGCTTCTGCGGGTATGATCCTATAATAACTCTTAAGCCTGATTTATAGATTGCCTTCCTTCCTTTCGTAAAAGATGAACATCGGCACTGGTGGACTAGTGGTCAGTGCTGCTGATTACCAGCCGAGAGGTCGATGGTATGGTTGTTTATTTGTGTTTGTCCTATTGTGTATTAGTCCTTTGGAGGGGACTTTAAGCCCGCGGTCCGTTCCTACCCCTAACCCGCTCAAGCCATTCAGTTGGCTTCTGGGATTTCTTAAGAAGGAAGGGTGGAACTAAAAGAGCACTTTTGTAATAAACTTTTTTTTGTATATAAAAACTGTAGTGCTGTTTATAAACATCTATAAATCTATAAATAGATTCCCGTACCCTAATCTATAAACAGCACTACGGTTTTTGTATTGTTCATCTTTTATGGGAGGAAGGAAGAAAAGAAGGAAGGCAATCTATAAATCATATAAATCATATATTAAATTTGATTATTTTGTAATTATGCATTGACTATATTTATAATAAAATATGTTTCGTTTTATAATTATATTTCAAATTGAATATAATTTTTAATTAAATATAGTCCCAACCTTGGTCACCCTACTCTCATATGATTTCCTAATGAGAGGTATTTTTAAATTATCTATGAACAAAAACATCTTACATACACGGAGAGAACTGTTATGTAATAATACTGGTAGTACTTAAAAATCGAGTAAACCGGGGACAGCTTAATAAGTGATTGTGTGTCAGGGGCGACTTTGGGGGGAATGACAGGGCCCATCGCCCCCTAAATATACTGGTTAATTAATTTTATTAGGTAACATTCCAAAACTATTTGGTCATGATTGTTGTAAAATTATACTATAGTATAATATTACAAAAGTTGTTCTGGTTTTACAAAGAAAGTACATAATGTGCAATTACTCCTAAATTTAAAAAATCGTTTTTTTTCGTGTTTTTTTTAAACAAAGCAAGATTAAAAATGTAAATAGGCCAAGGAATTTAATTTAGTTATCAAATGTAGGTTAAAGATTTCATGAACAGAAAAAAATAGTCACATGGTATAATATTAATACCAAAAATATAAAAAAAAGTACCAAATTTAAATATTTTATATTTTAGAAGATATTAAAGAAATTCAGATAGGGTAAATTACTAATATTCTTTTAGATCTGCCATCGCAACCCTCTGTTTTGACCACTTTATGGTAGGCCTGATGTGTTTGTTCATCTTACATAAAAAATACCAGACAACTATCATTGGAAATTTAGGGAAGGTAGACTCAGGTTGGGATCTTATCTCATATTTTGGTTGATTTACAAAGTTCTGTTCTGTTTGTCCTTAAAAAATATGTCTAAAAAAATTATATATTATATTTGCAATTGTGAATTAAAAATAATGGGGATTATTACCAATTTCTTAAATAATCAACTGATGATTATCAACAGGTGGATGCAAACACGCAATTGCCTTTCTGATGTGGTTACATCGGCGCAGCGAAGAACCGGAACCGACAGCAACTGTGTGCTATTGGAAAAAATCACGACTGGCCCAAGTAGGAACAAGTATGAAATTCATCACTAGCAAAGATATCTTCAATGAAATGCAAAATAACATTAAGGAAGAAAAGGAGGAAATGGAGCTGAAAGCAGATACATTTCTAGAAAAATTATTGAGCGAAATGACAATTCGTCAGAGTAAATTTCAAATCTCCAGACATTGCATAAATTTTGAGCCCCAGAGTAGCGACATATCCTTACACAAGTTATTGGCTGTGTTTGTAGAAATGGGAGGGGAAGATGTCGAAGATTTTTTGACGTTTGCAGAGGGCACCATGTCGGATTTCATGTGTGAAAAAATCGCACATGAAACCGAGGCTCAAAGTACCTCCAAGTTGTGGCAGGAAATGAGATATGGTCGAATAACGGCCTCAAAAATTCACGAAATTGCCCAATGTCATACGTCAAATGGGTCTTTAGTGCATCAAATTATGGGCGCATCAAAAATAATCGATACAGCTCCAATGGCAAGAGGTAGAGAACTGGAAAAACAAGTAATTGCGGAGCTTCAACACATATTAGGCGATGTACAGTTAAAAAAATCAGGTTTATTTCTTTCTCCCAAATACCCTGCCATTGGAGCTTCGCCCGATGCTTTGGGGCCAAATTTTGTCGTCGAAATCAAATGCCCGACAAAATTGGAAACGATGACAAATTATATTTCCTCAGATTATAAATTAAAAGACAAATGTATGGCTCAAATTCAGTTACAAATGTTTGCTACTAAAATGGAACGTGGCTACTTTTGCGTGGCAGACCACGAATTTGAGTCAAACAAACAATTTACTTTGATTTGCGTTGAGTATGATGAACAATTTACTATGCGACTGATTGAAAAAAGTATGCTTTTTTGGAAAACACATGTATATCCTCTTTTATACTGTGCTAGCGCGGTATAAAAGAGGATATACATGTGTGCACAATAGGGTCGAGCGAAATATGAATATTTTTAAAATTGAAAACGCCTGTATATAGGTTACTAAGTATAATGTTTATGTTTATTTTTACCATAAAAAATTTTAATTTTTTTTAATTCCTTCCACCACCCCAAAGCCATCTTAAATGTAAAAATTATAATATTCAGACAAAGGTGGAAAACGGTTTAAATTATTTTTTTTCATGCCAAGATGTTTTTTTAGCATAATTAACTTTTACAAAATGAAGTATTTAATTAAAAAAAAAACCAAGGGTCATTCCACGTTACTCAGTAATTTTTGTCCCGCCCGTCACATTTAAAAATTGTGAGTAAAAACCACATGTTATTAAATTTATTTTAAAATTTTGTTTATTATGCTTGTAATGAGCTTATAAGCACAATAAAAATAATATTATAAAATAATAATTTAGTAATTTTTGGTGTTTACTCACATTTTTTAATTGTGAGGGGCGGGACAAAAATTACCGAGTAACGTGGTGACCCACAAGCGAAATGGACGGCGGGGGTCCGTCAATGTTAAATATGAGAATGTTGGTATTTTTAAAATTGACCGGGGCCCCCATTTAGCTTGTTTTTTTTTGAAAATCAAATTACCTCATTTTGTAAAAGTTAATTATGGGGTCATTCCACGTTACTCGGGGATTTTTGTCCCGCCCGTCACAATTAAAAATTGTGAGTAAAAACTACACGTTATAAAATTTATTTAAAAATATTGTTTTATTATGCATTTAATAAGTTATAAGCACAATAAAAATAATATTATAAAATATTAATTTATAACTTGTGGTTTTTACTCACAATTTTTAATTGTGACGGGCGGGACAAAAATTACCGAGTAACGTGGAATGCCCCTATGCCAAAAAAAACATCTTGGCTCAAAAAAAAAAATTTAAACCGTTTTCCACCTTTGTCTGAATTTTATAATATTTATATTTAACCCATTAGGCTTTGAGGCGATGGAAGGAATTAAAAAAAAATTATTTTTTTTTTACCAAAATGTTTATTTTTACCATACGCAAGTAATCTATATACAGGCGTTTTTACGAATATTCATATTTCGCTCCACCCTAGTGCACAAGCATTAGGGAAAATATTCTTGGTAAATTTTCTGGATAAAATACATAATTCCACTTTGGCTTAAAAAAAAATTCATAGGTAAAAGTGGGACACCCTAACAAGCACGCTGACCCGTTTTAAAAAATTTCTTGAGTTGCATTTTGTATGTAGGTATTTATAGGCTAAAAAAATAAAAACAATATTTGTCCAATTAGGTATTTATTTATATACATTTTGTATTGTGCATCTGTACAAAAAATATATTACTTGTATTGTTATACAGAGTTTTATTATACCTGAGCAATGACAGGGCTTTGCAACATTATCAAGCCTGACACAATAATGGCGACTTGATCAATGGTACGTAGAAAAAACAAAGGGTGAGCTGCGTGAGGCTCGGTAAACGAAAACTCACGGACCCTCTTAATAACACGCTCAATATGTATCCTTAAACTAGCTATTCTTTTTGTTTCCAGAACTTCAGATTGCGAAGGTTTCTCAGAAGTTGAAACACTTGGAGGGCGAACAAGTTTGCAACCTTTATTTTCCAGTAACTGATCTACATGCTTGAAACCTCGGTCAGCCATGACGTGGCATCCTTCCGGAAGTTTCTCTAAAAATCCACTATGTTCTACAATCAAAGCATCCGAAGTTCGCCCTCCAAAACCTTGGGAAATGAAATTTATAGTTCCATCTGGGGTTGATGAAATTAGATATTTCAGCGTGTTACATTTTTTATAATCAGACCAGGTTAGTGCTTGATGCACCGGATTCGAAGGCTTTTGAATTTCAATCTCAAAACAATCAATAATACACTGTACGTTATTGTATCTTGCTCGAAATGGGATTGGTAGTGCACATTTGATTGATGCAGCAGAAGGCCAAATTATTAAATGTTTTAAAAATCCAGCAAGTATTGGTACAGTTTTGTTAAAGATACGATTTGCTTGGGCAGAACTCAAACCATATTCATCACCCAAAATAACAAACGAGTTATCATTTTTTATTTTTTCCAAAGTCAAAGTTATATCTGTTAATCGCAAACCGGTTTCTTTTTCTAGCAGAAATAAAACAAATAATGCATTATCAGGCAACCCAATAAAATTTTTTGATCGCTTTAAAATACGCGAAATGCGCAGACTTTGAGTTTGTTCTTTTAAGTCTTTTGATTTTGCAACATCTTCGCTGGAATGTTCACTAGGTAAGTATTCATCTGAATTTATCAATTCTGTATTCACAGAACTTTTTTCCTCAGACCCAGAAAAAGATTTTGTTGACAAAGCAAGTGTAGTATTGAAAAGGTCATGTGCACGTCGAAATTTTATTGGAGAGCACGATGAATTTTTTGTTGAACAAAGATTTTTTGAGAAATTACATTCTACACCAACACTGCGATAGTAAGGCCTTAGTTTAACTTGCACGCCAACATTTCTAAATTTTAAATTTGAAATTGATTGTGTTGTTTCATTAAAATCAGCATCTTTAGTATTTTCATTAAGGCTCACTGGTTCCTCCAAAGCATTTGAAGTAATGGCACCTATGCATGACATGTCAACCAGCGTACTCACAGGCGTTTTTTTGTTTGTGTCTGCTAATAATTCACGTCTTTCCAATTTTATTGCACATGCACTGGGCAGGGCCGCCGCTAGAATAAAATATAGGGGGGGTCAAACTTCAAGTTTAAGTCAGTTAAAAGTAAAAATACAAAAAAATTCTTTACAAATTTAATAAAAAAAAACATAAACAAGAACTTATTCACTAAATAAAAACTGTAACCTCCTACGATCTTGACCAAATTTATCTATAACATTGTTTATAAAACTGTTTTTATTATTAAGTACGTTTTGCCTATGTACACTTAACAAACTTAACCCAGACAACCTATCTTTCGATATGCTTGATCGCAACCATATTTTAACACGTAAAGTGCTAAATGACCTCTCAATAGTGACACTGGTTGGCTGTAATGCTAAAAAAATATACGTATAACCTTTTTTATTGATGGAAAGAACAGCACATCTTGGAATTCTAATTTTCGTCTTTTTTTTGTTTTCCACAGTTCCACCCACGTTTCAATTTCTGCTGTGAAGTTTTCAAGTATATATTATTGAGAAATTTTTATTTCTGATGAAAATGTTTTGGCGTAATCAATACTTTTGTTATATATTTCACTAAAAACTTATCAGGACCACTTCTGTGTGATTTAAATATTTGGAGAAGTTCGTCCAAATGTGTTTTAACTGAAAGTAATCCATATTTTTTGACTGCAATGTATTACGAATTGGCTCCAATTTACTTGAATAATTTTCCATAATAAACAAACAAACAAACAATAAATTTTGAATCTGATACGCATATTAAAATTTGATTGGATTTGCTTGTTGTTTGCACATTTACATCCATACTAAAAGCTAATGTCTCAAGTGCGTTCGTTATTTCCACCAAATTTGAAGCAAAAATTCTTATCGATTTGTATTTAGCTGAGTAACGAGTTTCGGAAAATAATGTAAAGTTGATGAACCGTTACTTGCGTATTGTCCAGGGTGGGTCGACCGTTTAGTCCTGGCTCTGGGGGTTGTATGAAACGTTTGTCTTCTATCTTTTTGGCATTCAAAAAAGCGGGGCAACACATCTTTTTTTAAACGAATCCTAGCATTAGGGTCTAAAGTTATCCTGGTATAATTTTCAATATCTTCTGCCAGCTGAAAATTAAAATACACATTAGGAAACAATTTGAATAATAATTCTTGAGTTTATTATTATTTAACATACCTATTCCAACCATATACCTAGTAAACGACATTATATTTTACTTACATTAAAATGATCCTCGCAGCAATAAAATGTTGTCCGCGGTGACGATGTTTTGATATCGCGCCGAGCTATTTTAAACCACTTTAACCTTATTTTCCCTTTTGGCACGGTGATAAACCTTTTCATAGGAGTTTTCCAGGTTGTATTTGTACAAAAAGGCACAAAACAATATTTACAACTTTTTGGTTTCGCGTTTTCCATATTAAACATAACCTTTATCGGTGTTTATTATTTGTTGACATCTTGATTTCTGACACTTCGTAAGTTTATGACGTCATGCAATATGGCGGGAGTTCGGGAACGTTTGAAAAGTACCTTTTTTTCAATTTGATATTTTGGGGCCGGGTTGAACTTTTGGAATATAAAAAAATATTTTCGCAATGTGTTTTTACCTCTAGATTACATTAAAAAGGTTTTTAGGGATTCTCATTTTTGATGCAATTACTCTATTATTTGCTGCTAAAATTCTTGTTTTTGCGATGCTGTATATCCCAATATCCTGTAAGGCTTTGCACATTAAATTTGCAAGCTGACACCTATCAGCAAAAAATGTCACTAGAAATTTTAAGAATTAGATCACCAAATTTTAATAATGATCTTAATACCTAGTATAACTTAAAATAGCATCTACATGTCAAACAATATTGATAAAAAAGTTGATTTGCTAACAGACTTAATAAATTTACTTTTTGAGGTGCATGCACCAATTGTGACTAAAAGGGTAGGCAAACCACAAGCACCCTGCAGGGTTAACTCCTAATTTTAGTAGAATTAGGTTTTACATATTAGGAAAAAATGTTTTTATTTTGTTAGAACCATAATTACCTTTTATTTTTTTATATATTCTATAACACTGTTTAATTTTATGCCCAAACTGGCTACTTGGAAAATAAAGATTTTAGTTACCTATGAAAAATAAATAATTTAAAGAAAATTTTAATTATATTTTTATTATAAACACTGGTACTAAAAATCAAAAATAGAAAAAATCGGATTCTGCATTTGTATAAATTTTTTTTTCAATAAATTAAATGGGGTGTTCCAAACACCCCCGCGAGCAATATCGCCAGTAAAATAGGCGCGAGTAACGAGATAAAGCTCTGCGTAAATATAATAAAAATAAGTCCGAACAAAACTGGGAATGTTATAAGCAAATGAGAAACTTTTCAAAGGCATCCCTTAATCTAGAAAAGGCTGCATACTTAAATACTTCAAAATCTCAAAAGGATATGTGGAAGGGAATTAAACTTTTAAATATAAATTTTAAAAATAAATCCATTGATAAACCACAAAGTTTAAAAGATCCTGATAAAATAAATAATTATTTTACATCAGTTTTTAAAAAGTCAGACGATTGCAATGATAACATTAGATATTATGGGTCAAATTTATATAAAAATAATCTAAATTTTTTTATTATAATAATCTTATAAGATGTTAAAAAGGCTGTATTTTCTGTTAAATCAAATGCAAGTGGTTTGGATAACAATTCCTTACAAATGGTTAAACTTTGCCTTCCAGTTATACCTAATATTTCATCTAACACACATTATAAATTGTTGCATTGAACAAAAGTATTTTCCAAAGAAATGAAAAGGTTCATTAATCTGTCAAAAAATACAAATCCTACCTCAACAACTGATCTAAGACCTATTAGTCTCCTTAGAATACTATCAAAAATTTTCGAAAAGATAATTGCAAATCAAGTAACTGAATATTTTACCCAGAATAAGCTTTTTCTCAAACAACAATCTGGTTTTAGAAAGGGTCA